AAAACTCCATCCACGATAACTTTCAGTTCACTCACGAACTGGTAGAGTGGTAAGAACTTCCATTCTTGGATATACTTATGTACAAACGGAACGGAGCATTAAACATCATTGTATTTATGAAACCTACCTACACCGAATCCTACATAAACTTATGTTCCTTTATTCATAAAAGCGGGACTGGTTCAAACATACGTTCAGAACATAATGTTGTACGGGCACACTTCCCTATTCCAGCAAGAGAACGGTCACCTCGGTGTTCGAAGACTTTCAGCCACGAGCAGTTCAACGCAGCGGACTGGAAATTGAAGAAAATCCGAAATTCAGAAGAAATTACAACAAGAAAAAAAGATTTCCGAATCCGTCCCCTCCTTGTCATCCCCTTTCAAGAAAACATGAGTGAAAGAATCAAACGATTCATGGCCAAATGGGTGTAACCACGGTCTGCAGATCCCCAAACAAGCATGGTAACCTCTTGTATGCCACAGGCATCACACCAGTACAAGAAAGTGTCGGGGTTATATACCGCAAAAATTGCTCTTGAGTAAAAAGCTACATTGAAGAGACCTGTAGAAAACTGAGGAACCGGGTCAGCGAACACAGCTTTACTTGACAGAGCAGATGAGAAATGGTCAGCAGTGGCTGAATGCAGCTTACTAAAGAACCACGCCATAAGGTGGGATGCAGGTGGCATCGTCTGCATGAGGCCTGATGATGGGAAAGAAAGATTTCGGAAGAATGATGATGAACAGCAAAATGAACTAGTAGGAAGAAACTTAAAAACTCATGCCAGCATGGCTTCTTCTGCTGCGTGATTAAATGTTGAATAAATGTATGCTGTTTGAATTCACATCTGACGTCACAAACTCTCCACCATGAGTAAAAACCCAAACCGTTCAAATATGCATCAGGAAAAGGCCACGAACTGGACATAAAAACAGAATTCGTCATCCAAAAAATGGGAGGGTGGCTGCTCTAGGTTTGACCATTCCTACAGGTGGCTTGCCACCTTAAGATTCAGTTTGCGGGTCTTGCTCCGGATTTAACAATAGTTACGCACTACCTGAATTCGAATTAAACTGCGTAAATGAAATGAAAAGGTGTATTTATATAAACTATTTTAAGCTTTAATCCAGCAAGAGTCAGTGCCTAAACTTCCATTGAAGAACACTGACTACTTTAAAAGTGAAATTTGAAAATAAATCTTTATCAGAGTAGCATAAGCATGTCATTTGCTCGCGGCGTACTCGTTCCATCCCCAGTTTCTAGGCACTGGTTTGTTTGTGTGATCATCACCTTGAGCGTTTTTCACGAACAGAATGTCTCTGGTGTGTGATGTCTGTGCTGTATTCGCAGCTTTTCAAGCCCTGCGCTATAAGGCATTCGTTGCTGCTTCGTAGAAGGATATATTCCTCTGCGAAAGCACATATACCTCTACATCTACCTCCATGTTGCATGTTAGCCTCCTGGTAGACGTTGGTTATGCTACGGCTCTCACACGAGAAGCTTTTAAGCTGGAGGAAATGGATTATGCTGAACCAGTTGGTCTGAAAGGACCAGCCTTCTTTTTTAATCTCCTCATCTACGGCGCACACCTGTACCCAGAATTGAAAATAGTCATTCGTTTGGTGGTTTTGCTGTTTAACTTTCATTATTAGTCGAAGCCAAGGCTGCTGTACATAGTTCAGTCCATGTTCTTGTTTATTCGTTGGAACAACCGTATCCATGTCGTAGAACAGCAGAGACCTGATAGAGGCAAGATACATACTGATTTTCGTAGGAAGACTAACTGTTTCCTGACATTGAACACTTAAGGCTATGGGGATCGTCCCGTTTAACTTTTATTGAATGCTCTCGTCGCAGGAAATGGTTGGGCTGTCACACTTAAGCTGTACAATCTTCCGAACTTTACCGTTTTCCACTTTTGGATCAGTTGTGCCTGATTGTTTTCTCGTAACGTTTCATATCGAGGCGTTATAGAAGAGGCCGGCTTTTGTAGCTGTTTGCATACAGAAGCCATAATGCGAATGACTCCGCTTCTCGTACTACTCATCAGGAAAGTATCATCCGCATACTCCAGGTCAGCAAGATATCTATCCGGATATTTTGAACTGCACATTCCCTATAGAATGAGACTTTCGTATTTACCATAGTCGGCACTGTTTCGGAAAAAAATCGAAAATAATATTCAGCAGCAGGGGCGAAAGCACATCTCCCTGACGACTTCGATAGTTAATGGAGGTTTATATATTCATATTTATACCTTCAACTTTGACACGGTTCCTTTCATACATTTATGTCTATATTTTAAGCGTTCTGTTCAGATATCCCATAGCATTTCAGGATTTTTACGTCATCGGATGATATACTGAATCAAGTGAAACCTTAAGCGGAAAAAAACTGGCAGTCCAAGTCAACTGCAACCGAATGGGTGCAGTTTAAACTTGAAATGTTTAAAAACTAACTTAACTTTAACTTGAGTTTCGTTTTTTCCTGGTGGGGTCGTCATAAAAGAAAATGGAAGATCTATAACACTTGAGATCTCACTCTCCCTTACATTTTCATGATCGTGATCGGGTGCCATTTCTGTCTGCCTTTTTTCATTAAGCTTATTGTGCGGCGCTAATTTCTATTTTGGAGAGTCAGGAATGCCTTGTTAAGGCTACAAATTAGTAGCAGTTATAGTCTGTAGTCTCGTATTTTCTTCCCCTGAAATGGTACTCATTATTCTATCCCGGAAGAATGAAAGCGAGTCCCGACCAGGGCTCAAACCCAAGACCTCTCGACTGAATCTGATATTCTACTATGCCTGTCATTCAACAAGGCTTTATGCCATTACGGATTGGTGACGTCAAACAGAGAAATAAGGGGGGAAGGGTGTGGCGGACTCCAGCATGAGCATACTAACGGAAGACACAATCGTGCTTCGAATATTCGCATGTCATGGTCTTTCTGCTGCCTTCTCGGTCTTTTGCACAGTAGTTGAATAGCAGAGAAGGAATTAATGGTCGGTAAGAACAGTTCACGATGTGCCTGAAGCATACTCTGTCCTATGACCGCCACGGAATTACTGGTCTCCGGTTGCTATCTACTGCTGTACTTATTTCGCTTCTTTTTTAGTCGTATTCTTTTAAGTGTTTTGTTTAGTTTCTATGCCTGAAGAACATATGTTTGTTTCTGAACGCTTGCCAGAATGTTTTCGGTCTCGAACCAAGCGCGCTGTTCGAAGCATGGGAGTTATACAAGGTAGCGGATTTCGGCAAAGTGCTCAATACGCTGTCGAAGCTGTCCAAGTGCCCAGTCGCCGTTCGTCTTGGTGTCACGTAAGCCCGCTGACAACGCCGCGTCCCCCTGTTGCTAACGGTTGCTTTTCTTTCAGTGGCTTTCCTGACGAGAACTCCTCGGTCGCGGTCGAACACGAATATTACAACGACGAGATCTACCGAGAGCTAGCCGAAGTTGCAGAGTAATGGTTTACGTATTTATACGTTCAGATGGCCTGTTTGATGATCGACGGCTCGTCGATCGCTGCGTTGCATGTGCATTCGCTAATCGCCGTTTTAAAATTCCGTATAAATCTTGTTTAAAAGTTTTTCAATGCCAGCGCCAAATTAGTGTTATTTCGCTGACCGTTATCACAGCGCTGACGTAGATGCAGTTGATCCTCGCCTATAGTATTGAAATGCCCGTCTATACGGCGTTTCTGAGTTTCCTGTTCAAGTCTTGCACGAGCTGACTGTCACATTTGTGTTGAAAAATTTCAAATGTCGGATTGTGACATTTCTGTAATGAGTTACGCGCACTGAGTTGTATTTTCGGCGCGTTCGCTGAAAGCACAACGGACACCGAACGGCACAGATAAGGATAAATGCCATCCTCCGTTCAGATAGATGACGGGCGGCACTATATGCAATTTTGTGCCGTGTTCTCTTATCTTCATCGTTCGGGCAGCTTGAGTGATGCTATGTGCTCTCCATTTGCAACTGACCATTCAACCACGTAGTGCGGATCATCGTTGTGTCTAACCCACGAGTCACCATTCTGCGTTCGAAGAATAAACGGTACGACGACGACTGTGTCTATGCTTTTTTGATACTAGTGCAGACTGTAGTCTCCTGTAATTGCGTACAGTTTTGTAGTCAGTGTGTTGTTTTCATGGGTGAAATTGTCTGAAGGCACAAATATCTGTGCCAGTCGAAAATTGGCGTTTCTTCGTCATTACACGGTCGTTCAAGTTCGATGGCAGGTTTCCAAGCGAAGCAAAATTTTATCTTCCTTATTCCATTTTATAATATGACCCTTTACTTTGGTTGTCAATAGGACATTGCTCGTAAGCGCTTAGGCATTTCAAAGCCAGCACGTTAGCATTGTTTGGGTGACCGTTTAAGCAAGTCACGGCTCCACGGTATTTGACCATCTACAGTGCTCGTTGCATCTCGAATAATTTTATTGCGATGAAAAATTCCATGTCTTTCGACATGATGCTTCAAGAGCTGAGGCTCTTTACTGTTTTATCAACAGTTTTCAAACTTGGATTCTAAGTGGAAGAGTGTTTTTGAACGTAACATTACCATACACGAAACGCATTGCACTGGTCCATACAATGTTACGAGATGCGTAATGAACCACGTACTTAAGCGATTCTTAAGCGATGGCTGTAAGATGTCCCGCGTACACAGCGAGTTCTTGCACAGCTACATGGTGAAGTCTTTCTGTCCGGATTTTATTCAGATTGTTATTCTAAACGTAATTGCGTCCGTCAGTTCCGATGACCGCTTATCTTTTGGGTCCCCGGGCGGTAGCGTCAGACAATGTTTCAGACGTGCCTGATCCTGCGTCAGCGTCTGAGCTTCGACAGAAGTCTGCAGCAGAGTCAGTCACATGACACTTGCCCCGGACTTTCTTGGCC